CCCCAAAACCCCAAAACCCCTTTACACAAAAATAGATCGAAATCAATCACGAATTAATTAATTAATTTTATCAATTATTTTTTATTTCATGCTAACTACTAATTGAATGAATTAAGATTGAGAACTTCATCTATGAATTGTTTTACTTCAATGTATGTCTAATCATTTTTATCAACAGCCTACTATAAATTTCCATGGTTTTTCCCTTTCATCACTTTGAAGGAATCCTCTTTATGAGGTTCTAAGACCCCCATATGCAATGGCACATAGTAGTAGCCCTTACCAATAATCTTCAACATAGTCTTTTTATCCTCTATCAATATCTTATAGGGAAAATTTAAATCCAAAAAATTCCTGTTATGGTGTTCATAGTTGACTGCATCATCAACATTGGTTGTCATTTTAGATAACGGGCTATATTATTAAATGCTATTGATAATTTACAATCCCTCAAACAAGAAATGCTAATTGTAGTCAGCATTTGAAATAGCATTATCCACTGGGTTCATGAAATTATTCAGTATAGGTATCAAACCCTTCATATCTTCATTAATCTAGGCTCTCATATCAGATCCAATTAATGGGGATCCAATGAACATCACTCCCTTTAAGTTGGTTTTCTATTCTGGATGCTGTAGCAGCATAGTTCTAGTAACTATTCCTCCCATTGAATATGGTATTATCACATATGGTCTCTTACCCACTCCAGCATTTTTTAAGTCTCTACTTATTAGTTAAAATTCAATAAGCTGAAAATATGACTTACTTTTGTAGCTTATTAGCAAGATCCTCAAAGGAATGATCTGGAATATTAAAAGTCTGATGCTCGCACTGTAATCTTCTTGAGTCATATCTAACAAATATTATTCTAGGATTTTATTATGAGTATTCGCTGGATAATAATTCTAATGGCCAAATCTTTTCTTGATCTCTACTCATAAACCAAGTTCTTAAGGGATGAGACTCCTGGCCCTAGACAAATACTATATCAAACTGAATATTTTAAAGAGCATCTTTATCTTTTGTAAAGCAATTTTGTGACACTGGTAGCAAAGTATCTCCATAGATTGGTATTGATTCTTATCTTTGCTCTAAATTGTAAAGTATCTTTTTAGTATAAATAGTTGTCAAACTTATCTGATTCTCACTCTTCTCAAGATATTGCTTAATGATATCTAAGAACTTTCCAAGATTATTCCATTTCAGTAGTATATCCTCTTACGTCACTAAATATCTTGGTATGTCATAAATCAATCTTACTATCCTTAGTAATTATAGAGAACATCCTCAGCACCTTTTCTCTCAAGTGAAATAGCTCAGACTTAGCCTAGATGTTTTCTTTCGCAATCAAATATAGCAGATCATCCATTATCTCCCAAAAGCCTTCTCTTTAAAGCAAATCATTTCTTAATTCTTCATTGTAAATTGCTGCATTAATCAATGCATTTATTTATTCTAGTTGTTTTCGAATCAAGTTTTTACTCTGAGATTTTTTTAGAAAAGACAACTCTTCTTTCTGCTGGCTAGCGATCTTATAATTGCAGTAATCTAAAAATTCTTATTCATCGAAGCTATTTTTCTTATCTGTTGGCAATTGCTATTAATGACCTATAAACTAGCAAAGTCCCTATAGTTTTAATCACAGCTCTATCTCCCAAGGCTTTTCTATGAATTTATGATATCTAATATGAGGCATCTTTACTTTGTGATTTTCTTCACACTACGCTATGTTATTCCCTAAAGTTAGTTATATAAATGCTAATTAATACTATTCTGAAGCAAATTGATAAAAATTAGTGAAGCAGGTGCAAGTATTTGCTAATTACGTAATAATCTTTTCATTTTCAATTATCACTCTATTTTACAGCTTTTACCTTAAATTCAGTAACTCGGGGTTTTGGGGTTTTGGGGTTTTGGGG